GGGGGGGAGGCATGGACGAGGCGCTCCCACCTCACCTGGTGGCCGTTACGTAAAGTTGGCCGGCATAGACAGCCGTGCCGCCGTGCCCCCCGGCGGAGGGCAGGGTGCGCTTGTCCCGTCGGCATAACCTCCACTTACCTAATTGGCGAGGACCCCGTCGTCGTCCGGCCTGTCCCTCAGCTCAGAGACTGGCGGACGCGTGTGGGGTCCCCATTGGACCGGCCACCATTACGGGAATCCCCAGCCAGCCATGGGCTTCACAATCGTCAACGGGTTGCGTCGGCTGCGCGTGCTCTGGGGAGGCTCCGACCTGAAGGAGGAGGAGGAGGAGGGCCCTGACCTGGCGCCGCGCGCCTAGAGCCCCGCCCGCCCTTGGGCCTCTGCGGGGGGGAGGGGGTAATCGTACAGGTGCAAGGCCCCCACTAGACTAGACCGCACCGCACCAGCTCGAACCGAATAGACAACCAGCGTGTCTATGTACACACGCGTGTGCGTCTGGGTATGGCGCCCAGGCCGAGCGCGCCTGTCGTTCGTCTCTCTTTGTCGCACCAACGCGCGTTGGCGGGCGGGCCTGGCGGGCCGAAGCCGCGCCATGCATGTATGGTTCCCGGCCGATACACGTATAGGCCCCGCCCCGCCCTGCCGCGCCCCGCCGCGCCCCGCCCCGCCGCCTTCTGGTGCGCGGGACGGGACGGAACGGAATTCCCAAACGCGTCAGCAGAGATGATGGCGGGACCCCGGACGCGCGGGTGTCACCTCCTCTCGTTACCATTCCAATTTTCCACGTTTCTTTCTGGAATATTTACCGCTCGGGTCGGTGGGGTCGCCCTGTGTTGCCACGCAGGGGACCTGCCTTTCGCGCGGCCGCACTCGGCCTGTGTGTGTGTGTGTATCGACGGGTCGCCTCCCTTCAGCGAGGTCAGCCACCGCGCCTGGTAGAGCCTTGGGTTCTGGCTGGGCGCGCGGCGAGGCGCGGGGGGCGAATGCCAAATTCGTAGGGTCGCGTGCGGCACGCCACGCGCGGCTTGCGCGCTCCGCTGTCGAGAGCGCCGCCGGGCGTGTATTTTGACGCTGTCCTGCTGCGCCGCGGCGGACGCTTGGCTTACTATATACCACTACTACTCTAACGCGCTCGCGGGTTTTCCCTGGTCACGTCACGCACGAGTCGCGCGGGGCGACCGGCTCCAGCGCGCGGGGTCCGCGGGGTCCACGCGTGGACTCGGACACGCGTGGCTCCGGCCCGCCCCACCCACGGCCGCGGCTCGTGGCGTAAGGCCCCCGCGGCCCGCTCGTCGTCCTGCGGAAGTGGCCGTCGTCGTCGGTTGAAAGCGCCTCGCCGCGGCTGCACTTTGTCCACTTTCACTCCCTGCATTACCGCTCTCTATAGATATCTGCGATGCTCGAGCATGGTTTGATGGGTATTTAACGGCCGTCTTGTGTTTCCTCTGTCCCTGCAGGTATGATGTGCGTCCACCTGGCTGCGCTCAACGGTCACGCCGCGGCGCTGCAGTACCTCGTCTGCGCGGGGGCCAACATCAACGCCAGGGTGAGTGTTTGTCGGTCGTGTCAACACGCGGGCGGGTACTCTATAGGCTTCGGCCGCGTGCTTTCCCTTCGGGGTCGCCGCCGCGCGGGAGGGACGGCTCTTGCGCCCAGCAGCAAGCGGCAGCAGCAGCAGCAGCCGGGCAGCGCGGAATGGCGTGAAAGTCGGTCTGCCTGGCCCTTGTCCCGTGTGCAGTGTCCCCTATAGTTGGGGTCAGCATGCACCGAGAGGGAGGGGGGATTTATAGCCAGGTTTGCATTGAAAGGTCAAAGGGTTGCGACCGTCCTACCTAGTACGGTTTGTTCTGCCGCCCCCAAAAAATGTCCCACGAGCGTTTTGTTTGCATTTATGTGAAAGTTTAGCGGATGTATGCTTTTGTGCCACAGTGGGCCACTAGCCCCGGCCAGCCCCTCCGGTGACGATTTTCGGTGTGGTTTTCGCTGTGCTTGGCCAAGCTGGCCAAGCTACGGCTGGGTCGGAGTCGGAGCAGGCCGCTATACATGGCTGCGGCTGCCTGGGTGGCTCTGTCTGGGAAATCCCTTTGCCGCCGAGGCGAGGCGAGTCGAGGCGAACGGTGCCGCGCCGTCCACCGAGCCCAGCCGGGGCCACACGCAATCGCGCTAGCCTCAGCCGAGCCGAGCCCGAGCTGGGTGTTGCCCAGCTGGAGAGGGGCGGGGCGGGGTGAGGCGGGCCGAGCGAGGCCGCGCGGGGAGGGGCACATAGTCCGGTGAACTGACTTGGCAATGCTAGGGCTGTCGACGAATAGACTTTTATTTGGGCGCTTTCGTGCGGGGGACAGGCAATGAGTGCTTTTGAAAGTTTGAAGCATTATCATTCTGCACCCTTCGAAGTGAATAAAATTGGATTGTTTTCGTTTTTACAGGAGGCGAAGAGTGGGCGCACCGTACTGCACCTGGCGGTGGAGTATGAGAGGACAGCTGTCCTGCAGCTTCTCCTAGAAGACGTGCTGCAGCTGTTGCAGCTCGACGCCACAACATACGCCGGACACACGGCCTACCAGCTTGCGTCCTGTGTGGACGCGGCACTAGCCAACAGATTAGCTACGCGAGGCGCCCAGCCCAGGGCGTTCCCGGTCGATGACAGCAGTGAGGACGAGGATGACGAGGAGGTGAGGACAGAGGACACAGACTTCTAGGATTGAAGTGCAAGCTAATCTTGAACTGCCGACATATTGTACACTTTATTTTGAGTTTTCGATTTGAATGAAAGAAATTTTTTTGTGTGCTTTATGTCAATAACATTCCAAAGTTTCCACATTTTTTCTTTGTATAAAGTGTTAGATACGTATAAAAAACTGTGATTTTGTGCTATAGTGCCTTAGTTTATGTAGTGTATCACTCAATAAGAGATTGTTGTAAAATGCATAAGGCTTTTAACTTTTTTCTACTATTTGATTGTTATATGGTTCCTTGAGTTCAGAATTTAGTCATCAATGGTTTCATATCGTTATTTGTGTACTTTTCAATAACTGACGTTACCATTTCTTTCTTTTTTTTTGTCAGATGTACCGGGCCTACCATGGCAATTGCTTTCAACAACTGGCCACTCAGATAACTAGTTGAGGTTTCATGCAGTGTTTGTCAGGTAACACTCTGCTCTTGCAAGTCCATACTCATTTTCCAGATTTGGATTTGGGGATCAAATTTGCAGGCTGATTTCTTTAGTAACCATTAGTGAACCTTGTTAATCAGACATGTATCAAGATAAAGTAAGCTGAGTCCAACAGAACCATCACCTAAGATGATCTTTGACAGGAAGTTACAGTAGTAGTATTAGAAAAGCCAGCCAGATTGTGTATTAAAAATAGGACTGCCCAACAGACTGATTGACTGACTGTGAATATATGAGTGCTGCCTGCTTTATGTCAATTTAATTTTAGTATTGAATTGCTTTTTGTGGCACAAAAAATGGAGCTTTAGATTTCCACTTCTAAGGATCAAGTGATTACATTTTCATTGTTAAAGTAATTAGTATCTAAATATAGCAATCATTCCTTGTTAATTAGTCACAATTGCGATGCCAAGTAATGCTGTGCAAATTGGACAGGTTTAAGGAGAATTCTTGGCAAAACATTTGAAAATTATCTGAAGAGATTGGCTTTGGACCATTTGTTGCAATGCAAGTGTACTTGATTGTCACACATTTATGCTATCGTTGTGTATTAGAGGAGATAGTCATATGACAGCCACTGAAAACTCAATGCTATATTCCATAACATTTTAAATTAGAAATTCTCAGGCTTCTAGCTGATACTGGTTACAAGCCATGCATCAACCTTCTCAAATTGATGTTACTATAAAAGGAAGTAAAGCATATATTTTTAGATATTTCTCTAGAGTGCTTTCTGAATTAAAGTTCCATGCAGAAAATTAAACGTAGTGGTTCTGTGTGCATAACTTTCAAGAATATTTTGTTGTGATCATTTAATGAACCAATCTGTGACATTGTCATTGTTTCTCCATTTTCTTTAAGGGAAAATGTGATTGAAATATATTTGTGATTCTGTTACATTTTAAAGACTGGGCTTATGTGTGGAATCAGAGGCAGGTAGTCCTTTGTCTCTTATCCATTCATTGTTTAAAAGTACAACTTTTACTCCTGTAATCATGTTTTGATGAGTGCTGTCAAACATTGTATCCTATTTATTTCTAGCTATAATTTTTAAATGACGTAGATACTTATTTTTTCTTTTATACTTCACAAAAGTTACTGTTCACCCCAAGCTTTATGGTCTGCATCAACTGCATAATCCAAACGTGTACAGAAGGCTGTCTCAAGTATTAAATAATAAGAATTCTGTTTGCAATGTTCAATGCAGTTTGGTTATTTGCCGATGTGTCTGCTAATACCTGCGTTTTTTAAAAAGAAAATTGGCATCATACTGTTTTACAAAAAAGATCCGCTTCAGTTACTGAACTTAGACCACTATTGACTATCATGTTGTTCCTTCCTGATACATGTATAAGTGCTCTTGATGGGTGTTTGTAAATAAGATGGTGTGCAGAATGCACACCAATGTATGTATTCTAACATCTTCATTCATAGTTCCAATGTCATGGCAGCAATAGAGACTTTGTTTTCAATTTGCCGATAATGCTCTAGAAAAAATGTTGTCACTCTTGGTTTATTTTTACTATAAGGTTGTATATAGTATTGTAAATATTTACTCTAATACATCTTTTAAAGTGTTTATTTGAAGTTACAAATCTTTTTATTTTCCCATTTCAGAACACTACATTTATCACAATCGTCAGTCTTAGTAACTTGAACAGAATAACACACTACCCAATCTCTACAAACAAAAGAAATAAAAAAAAAAATTGATTATTTAACAAGACAAAAGTTAAGGAATAAAATTTGTTGCAAGCATGTACTGTCATTAACTTTAAAAGGTACTAAAACCAATTAATCTACTTTTTTCAATAAAAACTAATTTGATTGTTCATTCGTCAGAATTTGTGGAAGCAGAAATCTGCTTTTTACTATTGCCTGGTTTTTGCTTTTTTTTCTTCACCCTGGGACCACTGTTTGAAGTTCGGAATGTTATGCACTGCAAAAGGAGACTTCTTTTAAAACATTGGGGGCTACAGTTACGAGTGCACATGGTTTTAAAGGAGACTTAATTGGAAATTGAGATCTGTGAGCAAAACAAACCTTTTCATCCAAAAATGACATCAAATCTTGGATTTTAAATTTAAAACCATTACTTCTTAAGTCAGAATGAAGCTTCTCAATCCATATAGGTTCATATTCAAGAACTTGTTGGTGAAGCTTAGTGTCGTTTGTTATAAAGTCATAGACAACTTTTGGAAGATTTTTACTTGCTAGAATAGAAATTGAATTGAACATGATACAAAAGAATAGGTAGACAATTTCAACTAAAGAAACTGTAAATTGCACTTGTTCCCACACCAGGCTGGTTGGATTGACTGCACAGTTGAGGTTCTTCACAATCATCCTCCATAAACTTTATTTCTTGTAAACTGGTATTCACTTTGCTGCAAACCATATAAAACCTTCATCATGAGTTCTATTTTTGTATATGAAAATTTTTTAAATTTCTTTCAAGTTGGGCTAAAGACACAAGACCAGATAAATTAATCCCCACCTTGCTTGCTCATCTGAATCTGAGTCAGAATCAGAAGTATGATCTTCCTTCTGAACAGGTTCTACATTTTTCCTCCCTCCTTCACAACTAGAAAATGTCAGTTTTCGGGAATTGGTCTGAGCTAGAGGCTGTATCTCAACTGGTTGGCTTAAGCTATGTTCCTCTTGAAACCTGTGGTTAATACATAACAGTGGTTATATATGTTAGACTAAATATAATTATAGAATCAAGGCAAAATGCTAGAGGAGGAACTTGAGGAGGACTCTCATAAGCTACAAGATTGTGCCAAACTAACCTCTCATCAGTTGCCTCAGGAACCCATGGATGAAGTTCACTGTAGATATGACGGAGCATTATTTTGCCCTTGCGTTTACCAAGGGTTGGTTTCAGACCAAACTTCTGCAGCTCCCTCTGAAACAAAATATTTAATCTTTTGAATGTCTCTTTTTTCCTTTCTCCTGTAAATAGATGTGAAATATATAAATTAAACAACAAAATGGTTCATTCAAACATTTGGAATGCATAACACCTACTTTCAGCTCTGGTGTTTTCATAGCACTATAGTTAGCCAATGGAGTAACATTATCTTTTAGAGATGAAAGAATTCGATTAACCGGAGTTCCCTTTGTGTCTCTCTGAGTAAATTTTCCACATTCTGCTTGTTGTAATAATGTTTCATTAATATTAAAAGAGTCATCGAGAAGTGCATCAAAACCAGAGGATGTTGGTGGATTTAGAGTTCTAGTTGGATTTCTCAGGAGGGTTTCAGAGTCAGAGGGGCTCTCTTCTTCTACATCTTTGCCCTTTTCTGATTCAGAAATCACTTGAGGTGAAATATTTCCAGGAGAGCTATCACTAAGATTATGGATGTGAGGTGACCTTGCGCTAGCAGTTGCAATTTTATGCTGCTCATTCACATCAAGAGGTTGTGGGGAGACTAAAAATGGGTCATCATACTGAAGGTCCTCAAACCCATCCCACACAGGACTTACATAAGTATCTTCAACGTGTTTAATCAAATCAGGTCTTTCATTATTGCACTCATCACCTGAACCTACTCTATGATTTGCATCCTGTGGATGTGGATCTGGATCTGGATCCATTATTCTACTGTCTTCCACTGGTCTTGAAATGATTTTTTCTTGGTATTGCAGTTCACTATCAGATGATATGCAAACTTTATCACTTAAGTCTGCACTCTCATTATTTTCAACAACAGCAGGAGATAAACTAGAATCTGAATCTTGAGTCAAATCGAAAAAATCAACATGAGCATCTTTATTTTCTGAATCTCTATCTGAGACGTGCGCACATTTGCGCTTAGAAGCACTTTTGTCGCCATCTTGAGAACTGTTTGAAAGCTTTCTTTTTGATTCATTAGATAGACGGCTAATTTTTTTCAAACAACTTTGATTAAAATCTACAATTTCAGTTTCGGCACTTGCAACAGAGAAAGCAGGAGAAGCAGCAAATGAATCTTTATCAGATATATCATCATCAGCATTGGCAGTGGATGAACAAAGAAAATGAGATGATGCATTCTCACAAACAACAGTCTTTTCGCTTGAAATGGAGGTAGCAGAAGGAGGTCTTCCAGTAACGCTTGAATCAGTTTTAAGATCATGCAGATCAGGTGATATCCCTTTCGTCTTGACAGCATCAGGGCATACCACATTGGGCTCCTTAGTTGGACTTTCCTCTGGTAATTCTGCAACTTCCTCATCACCAAAGATGTCTGGAGACGAGCAGAGGCTACGGACTTCAGACTCATGAGCAGTTATTTCACTGTAGATAGAATCAGTTTCACTTTTTGATGATGCTTTAACTGGTGGTGTAGATAAATTAGTTAAAGTTTTAGACAACCTTTTAATACAAGATGATCTGCCCTCATCAATATGTGATATTGAGTTAGAATCAATGTCATTCTGTTGAGGTTCTTCACTTTCATGACCTCTACTTTCAAAATCAAATGATGTTGAAGTTTGATCCATGTTTCTCACAACATTCAGGACTATTTGTGAAGCTGTCAGGGAGGCAGTTTCTTCTTTTACAGCACACAGATATTGTAAGAGGTCTGAAATTTTATAATGAGCTGCAAGCCAGGTAATACTAGTCAAGTCTCCACTTAAAACACGTATGGACTTCACAGAGCCACAGTAAACATATTCTAGAAAAGCCAAAGCAGCAGCATGTGGGGTTTTTGACCACATAATTACTTCTACCTGATTCCCAGTAAGAGAATTACACTGCTTTGATATGTCTCTAAGAATTCGAGGACAGCGGACATTAAGAATCAACTTGTGTGTAGGAATTTCCCTTCCCTCTTGAGGATAGATCATTAAATCACTCATGGATGTGTTGTTTACCATACCTGCCCAGTCATTGAAAAGTTTTGCTCTTAGTTTCATTTCAATATGGGCAGGATTCTTCAATTCATTCTGCAGAGGAGAACTCTGATCGGATGAACTATCTTCTTCGGTAGGAGATGTGGAGACTATGTCAACGTCCTCTTTCTGTTTCATAGACTGAAAAATGACGAGAAAGTAACTTTTTGTTATATGCACAACATAGCAAGACTTATTAGATCGACTGTCATCTAAAATTTAAATGAAGTGTGACAAATCCTGAACTTGACCGGTTGTTGCTGTAATGGCCACACCACATTTAAATAGTTGAAGATTGTATGTTTTACCGTACCTTTGATGGTGTATTCATGCGGCCAACAACTTGTGATAAATGCATTACTTTGGATCCTATTTCTACTTTGCTAGGAGATATAAAGCCCCGCAAACTTTGAACATAATAAGAGGCTCTATCATTTTTGGATGGAGAGGTAAAAGCCTTGGACCACAGTATATTCTCCTATAAGAATAACCATTGTTGAATATTTAAACGGCTGTACATAGATAAGTAAAGTACAAGCAATACTAACCTCATCATACACTTCTTGAAGAAATGTGGACTTTAAATTAACTGCATTTAAGCTCTCTCTTTTATTTACTTCAGTTTCTTCAAGAAGTACCATTGCCACTTTTTCTGTTATTATTTGCTGCCTCTCTTCAGCGGTACGTGTTAACAGAACTGGTTTAGATTTTGCTGCTGTGTTTGCTTTACCTAAAATAAATTGAGAGGGAACAGATAACAAACATCGAGAACTATACGCTGATGACAAAGAAATACCATGCAGAAAAATTTTCTGAGTACTTTCTCTCAAATAACATCTTGCTCACCTCGAGTTGAAGGGAGGTTTGGTCTAGTTTGGGCTGCTTCCAGAACAGATTTACTAGTGAATCCGAAGCGATCTAATGATATTTCTCTTGCATTATGTTCTACAGACAGTTTCTGATCCTGCATGGATAATGAAAGCGCCATTGCCAGTTGAAGATTACTATCCATTTTAGGCACTTGGCGATTCTCCTGGGCACATGAATACATAAAAATGAAATTTTGACTAAATTTACAGTGGTTTACAGTGGTAAAGACAGTAATCAGTAATGTAAAGTTAAGAACCCTTGAATGAAATCCACTCTACCTTCTTCACTGACACTGTTTTTTTAATAACTGCAGGAAGTGGTTGAACATCAGGCAAACCTAAAACTCTTCTTTCTGCTGCTTGTCGTTTTTGAAGTTCCAGTATTTCAATAAGTCGATGGGTTGGGAGTTTGTGTTTTGAGGCACAGCTTTTTAAATGGGATGTCTGAAGACAAAAAAAAAAAAAAAATCAAGTCAATTTAAGTTCAATAAAATACAATACAGTAATTTTAAGTGCTGCTTTGTAATTTTTTTAAAAGTATACCTTTGATAGAAGTTTCTCAAAAATTTTATGGCATAAAGGACATTGGAGAACCTCTACATCTGTCTCGTGAGCGACAGATATGTTCACGTCAGTACTTGAGATATTTGTATTTGATCCAGGTTCAAGTTCACGGATATTCCCGTTTTCCTCACCATTTTTTATATCCTGAATATTTAACTGAATAGACTGAGAGAGAGTGTTTTTTTCAGGATTATCCTCCCCAAGCCTTGTGATATTACTCTCATCCTCAGTAAGGCCACTCTTATCTACTTGCTCATCAGTAGGGCAATCTATTCGAGATGTATTAGTGATAACTTCCTTAGAATCAGAGCAATCTTGGAATTCAGGGTCGGCTTGGGCAGGCAATTTACTTTGAAAAGTTGCCTTGGGCAAATCCTTTTCCTCACTACTACTGGACTGTGTAAAAGTTTCATTCCTTGTTGGCTGATTCTGAGATTTAAAAATAGGTGGATTGGTCGGATCCCTACAAGAAAAAAAAAAAGGGATGATTATAATAAAATTAAAATGCCACATCCTCTACATAGAAGTCACATCATGGTTTCCAATTGATAAATAAAATTTAGTTGGGTTTCATAATTAAATTAAGAACAAAAAAAATAAATGGATTTAAGATAAAAGAGTTGTCTTTGTTCAAACAGCAACACACAGGGGCTAAAAATAAAATAAAACTGAGTAAAGAAAATTTATTTATGTTTAAATTATAGATTACAGATTATGAAAATCAAAGTGTCTATCATTCCTATCACTTAGAGTAGGATATTTAATGTTAACACTACCTTATGTTGCAATTAGTCTTCGAGCACGGCTGATTCTCTTCAATTTCCTTGTCAGAGCTTGCTGAGACGTGTCGCTTGAGCTTTAGTTTTTTTTGTTGCCTTGATGGTTGAGACAAGGAAAGGGAAAGAACCCTCCGTTTTGGCTGTTTATCCATGTTTAAAGTTTAGTCTGGGTACCACTTTTGGTCTTGTAGCGCCCGTTCTTTTTGCTTTCCGGCAAACTTTTTACTCTCTATGTAACCCTCCAACCACTTCTCATCGCTCCGTTGTCTAAGTTCTTCTGGTGTAAAGAAGTGTATGTTTTTATCACGTAGATAAAAGTATCTGAAAACAAATGAAAAAACATTTGTAAAAACTTTATTTCAAGGTTGTAGGCAGAATAAATCATTACGAGGAACATAGATGAATAAAGACAACAATCATCACCAGCTATATAGCTAGAAAGCCGAAATAATTCTATGAATGAGATGATCTAATCATGTAATGAACTTTCTCGATCGTTTCGTAAAGTTCCCTCGAATGAAGTAACGAAAGCTGTCGAAAAGACGTTTGGTCCACAAAATCATTTAAAAGTTCCCAGATAACCTAACTGTGAAAACCCCGCAAAACATAACATTAACCATTTGAGAAAACACGAGATTAATTCGAAAGGCAACTTACGCTAGGGTGAGTGAAAACCCCCATATGCAGAGAAAAGCGACTCCAGAGGCCTTGTTGACATACGAATAGGTAGGTGTTCCTTTGAGACCACGGGGTTTGGAAATTCGGTCTTTGAGGTCAACCATTGGCACTATTAGAGCGACAGAAGACCAGAAAACCACTAAACCCGCTTAAAATCTCAAGGACTCAGAACCAATGTGACAGTAATGAATAATTTGTTTTCTTTTCTGTCATTTCCCATGAACTAGCAGGTTTTGCTGGGTGCACTGTAGTCACTGTGCATGCGAACGCAAACACCTTCGGCACGGCTCGACCCCCCCCCCCCCACCCCCCCCCCCCCCCGTCCACTCCACTTCTGTTTTCGCCGGAGTGTGCTCAGTTCTATCCAACAAGAATGTGTGACCATGAGTGTGTTTTCTATAGCAAGCTAGCGACAGAGGGGTTTTCCCTTGATGAATTATAATGTGATGCTGGCAAAAGAACAGTACAGTTAGTTGATGTAACGCGTGGTGGAGATAGGGACAACAGTACTGTTCCTTATTGTCAGTAAGCTTAACTTAGCTTAACTTCCTGGGGTGGGATGGATAAGAAAGCAAGGAAGCAACTTTTAAGTTCATCAGTTCCTCGGTTGAATTGGCAATTTTATTATTATCAAAATATTTAAAATAACTTTTGGGCACCAGTCAATAACCAGCACCTAACACAATTCAAATCAGAGAGACAAAACACCACCATGTGTAATTACAGCACCAGATGATCAAGCTAGTGGCAACACCAACAACAAAATAGAAAAAGAAAAGAAAACGAAACAAAGAAGCAATTAAGGGTTTGACAATGTTCGACTTCACGAAAATAACTAGTTGCATAGTGGTAATCACATAAATAAATAAATTGACTTCCATCTAGATTAACGGCGAGGATTGGGTAGACGAGGTGCAGGTGCTGATGAGGCTACAGTGTAGCTTTGGCCTGGTACACCATGAACCCTGCTTAACAATACAGGGGGAACAGTTCTCTGTACGTTTGGTGGCATTCCCCGGAGAGTCCCATGGACATTAGCAGGTCTAATGGCGGCGGCAGGAACTCCCCTCTGAGTCCCAGAGACATTACTGGAAGGTCTAGTGACGCCGCCTCCTCTGGTGCGAACTCCTTGCTGGTGGGTGGCGTGACGAACTTGAGTCTGAATCATCTGATTCGGAGCTGATGACGATGGGTGGGCCAAGGGTGGGCGCTGTTGCAGCAATAGCAGCTGCCTGTGCTGCTGTAAGGCCTGAACCTGAGCTGGAGTCATGACGTGTGAGGTCGATGGTCCCCCTGCCAACATAGGAGCACCCCTGGAAACCTCAGTCTAGGAGACTGTTCTCTAAACTAAATAGATGGACAGTATAGTAGATATCCTGCTGGGTCAGCAAAACAACTACTTGACATTACCTGTTTGTGCCTGGGGCAGGGACAATGGCGGGGACAGGAGCACGGATGTGATAGACATTGGCTCCGTTGGGTATAGATGGCACTGGTACCAGAAGCCGCACATTGTTTTGCACAGTGGTCACAACATTATGATTGACGTTTTGCAGTGGCAGGGAAGTAGCAGGCTGGTTGGGGGCAGTTTTTCTTTTCTTATAAGGGTTTGCTTCTATGTTTGCCACATGCGCTAAAACTGAAACAAAATTAAAACCATTACATTAAAAGAGGATCCATTACCACATCTTGTGTAGAGACAGTACTGAAATTTAAAGGAGCACCAGCACAGGTTGTATGTTACCTCGTCTCTCTTCAACAATTTCCTTTCTTCTCTTCTTCAAATCATCTGATAAATTTTCAACCATTCTATCAATAAAACTGTCAAGAACAATTGATCTAGAATTTGTAACTGATGGTGCTCGACAGATTGGGCAGTCCTTTTTCTTTTCCAACCAGTTTGATATACATAGTTGACAAAATGTATGGTTACAGTTGAGAGTAGTTGCCTAGGACAAAACAATACAAAAAATAAGTCAAACTAAAGCTGTCGTCAATACACATGCTTAAGCATTTCCATCTTTACATACCATGACAAATAACTCATTACAGATGCTGCATTGCAGTTCAGATTCCATAAGTTCGCCAAAATTTTCGACAACCATTCTTCTGGCTTCCAGTTCACTTTTAGAAGCTGCTTCTTTGGCACGACTTGCCTCTTCCAATTCTTTTTCAAGCAATATTTTTTTATTACTAGTGGTGTCTAGGTCAGACTTTATTACATTTAATTCTGCTTGAAGCTTTTCAAGAGTCTTTGCATTTTCACCCTCCTTTTTACTCTGTTCTCCTGTTTAGGCATTACAATGATATTCAGTGATTGCAGAATAGTGAATTATATTTGAAAAAGGATATTGTTCTTACCTCTTATGTGCATTTCAATTGCAGCCTTCTCTTCATGAAGTTTTGTTATTTCCAACTCCAATTGTGTCCGCATAGCTTGCTCTCTTTCTTCAAGATCCTTCTTAAGTTGTTCTTGTTCCCTGGCTCTTAGTGCTTCTAGCTCTCTTTGATGTTCTTCTGCTATACGTTTCAGCTCAGCTTCTCTATCTTGCAATTCTTTGGTAACTTCTTGTTTATGTCTATCTAATTCTTTTTTTCTTTCACTTTCAAGTAACTGAAATTAAAAATAAAAACAAATAGATTTTACAACTAGTCTACCTTTTCACAGTCTTCTTTCCCTGTGAACAAACAATATATACCAACAAGCGAGATGATTAAAGAAAGTCAAAATTGATACCTCTAACTCCTTTTGTTTGGCAAGATACTCGGTTTTAAGTTTCTCCTCTCTCTCCTTTCTCTCTTGCTCAATTTGTTCCTCCTGAGCTTTTAATTCGCGCTCCCTTTCTAAGAAAGCTTTTTCCTTCTCTTTTTCTTGTCTCTCTTTCTCCTGCAATGCATTTTGCAGTTCCTTCAACCTTTCTTCAAATTCAATTTTCTCCTGAGTGCAAACACATGTAATTGTATAAAAGGGTTTTGAAAAAAGAAATGCCTAGTAAACAATACTTTCCAATGGCTATAGTAATTTCAATTTTTTTTACAGACCTTTGAAAGGTGTTCGGCATCTTTTTCCTTTTCAGCTTTCCTCTGCTCTTGTTTTTCCTCCTCCTGATGGGCCATCTTCTCCAAATCCTGAATTCGACGACGCAAGGCTTCTTCCACCTCACTCTTTTCTGCGGCAAGTTTTTGTTGCTCAGCAAGTTGGTCAGCTAATTTTATCTCCAGTAGTTTTTTTTCCGCCTCCAGCCTACAATGTTAGTTAGTTGAATTAAACAGATACATAGTGTAATAATGAGCACACCATCAAACATACCTTCTTTCGAATTCCTGCCTTTCCTCCTCAAGCTTTTCAAGAAGGGCTTTATTCTGCTTTGTTAATTCTCGCTCAGCAACTTCATAAGATGTAAGTTTACTTGCTAACTCTGACGTCTTTTTTAAGTGGCTTTCCTCAAGCCTTTGTTTCTCTAGCCTTAACTGCACCTCAAGCTGTTCTTTTTCCTCAATTAAGTTGTTCCCTGAGGAGCCTCCCTTCTTTTCCAGATCAGAACATAACTGGCGGTTTCTGAAAGGAATATAATATAAATATTCTCAAAACTGGTACATTACTTTATTTAAAAAAGGAGAAGAAATCACTTGATAATCACCTCTCTTCTAATTTTTGTAGCTGGTTATTAAAATTGTCACGAAGTATCTTTTGTTGTATTTGAAGTTCTTGTCTATCAGCTTGATTTTGTGTTATTGATTTTTCCAAATCAACTTTCCGGAGAGAAGCATTGAACTCAAACTGACGCCGTCGTTGAGCTAGTTCGGCATCCAAATTTGACTTCTTGGTTCTGTGAAGATAAAAGAATTTATTTGCTACAAAATTGTTGGGATGCTGTAAAAAGAAACATCCTAAAAATGTCTCAAACACACCTGCTCTTGCATGAGTTGGAACAGTTTTGGCCACGGGTGCAAAATATATAATTGTACTTGTGCGATTCTCCCAGTCTGATATGATCGCCATCATTCAAAGCAACAGGTTCGTCATTTTTCAGGCGTTTTCCATTTAACCAAGTTCCGGCATTACTCTGTAACAAAAATGCAAAAATACAAATCCAGCAAAACCTTACAGAGAGAATAGCACGTGAAACATTACAGAAACATAGTATCTCACCTTGTCACACAAAGTCCACAATTTTGTGAGTTGAATAATACACTGGGTTCGGGAGATGGAGACATCCTTGATATCATATGATGCATGTTTTGCTCGCCCGATCATAAACTAAACAGAAAAAAACTCCTTAAAAAAGAATGGCGCTTACCAGAGTTGAATAATGTTTAGTCTAACCTTAAAACCAAAATTAATTGAAATATATGGCGTGGTATGGAATAAAAGATATGGAGTATTCACACGAGGTTAATTATAACCACTTTAGTTGATTTCACGCCGATAATCACAAAAAATCTGGTGCCGAAAACTATAAAATGTTACCCAGCCCCGAACAGGCTACCCTTCCGATATTTACGATGCAAATACTTACATTGTCATTATTTATGCGAATGTCAACTTCTTGTCCGTTACTAGGATACAAAACTGCTAGTGTATCCATAGAAAACGATGGGAGAATCAAAACAAATTGTTAGGATAAATGTACAAGAAGGAGCAACAACGAAATCACCTGTTTGAACATAAACGAAACAGGAGGAAAATTTGAAGATCGTTGGTCGAAACTGGTGAATCGACCAGTCGAATTATTCGAGCTATGCGAGCTGTCGATGTTTTTGATCGATAGTGTTCCCAGCAAAACAGGGCCTGTCCACTTCGGGGTTTTCAGAAAGTGGAGGGGGAAGCTTGGCGGGCAAAAGTTTCGGGGTCCAGGGTTACCTCTCAGGCCACTTTTAGAGCTAAAATACCATAGAGCAGTAGCAATAGCGAACCGTTATCTTTCTATCGAAGCACTGCCGGTGAAACCAGCCCGTAACGTTCCGAAGAACACTGAGTGGGAGCCTCGGAAATCAAGACTGTTCAATATTTCTCGCACAAAAACCCAAGTAATGCAGTGCGTTCGAATCGGGAACTCAAAT